GAGGCTAAATGGAAGAAAGGAAATAGGTAAGTCATATTATATGGCGTAAAGGGAGGGGAAAAGGGATGTGAGGCGAGGAGCAAATGGCTAAATTCAGAGAAAAATAAAAGAGAATCGAAAATAAAGACAGGGAATGGGGAAGTTGCGGTCAGGAACAAAGGAAAAGGAAAATGTAGTGGAGGAGTTTCGAAGGGATGAGAGATGAATGAGGGGAAAGGAAAAAATGAATAGATGCGGAATTGGTAGGAAGGAGAAGAACGTGGCTAGCGGAGAACAATAAAGCGGAAAGGTATATAAAGTGACGGGGGGAAGTCTAAAAAATTGGGTAACGCAGGTTCAACGCGAGAATTAATGTCTCAAGTGCCATCACAATCCGTGATACCTGTAGTTTTGGAGGGTTTGTCGCTTAATGTTAAACTTGTTAATGTCTCTTAATAAAAAAAATCTGGAAAAATCTAAAAAATTTAGAAAAATCTCAAAAATCTAGAAAAATCTAAAAAATCTGAAACAATCTGAAAAATCTGGAAGAATCTAAAAAATTTAGAAAAATCTAAAAAAAATGGAAAAATCTTGAATTTTTTTACAGGATTTCCCTCAAATTTACAAGATTTCCCATCTGGGAAATCATGTCAGGGATGATGTGGGCACAGCACACGCCGTTTCCGTGTTTAAACACGGTTTTGTATATAATTTTTTACCACTTATTTTTCAAGTTTTTTTGAATTTTTAAAGTTGTTTCCTACACTTTAAAAGGTGTAGAATTTAATGGTAAAAACCATTTTCCATAAAAATGAATTTTGATTATTAATTATTTTTTTTCACTCATTTCTCAATTAATTGTTTGCATACATGTATGTACCTTATTTTTTATGTTTTTTTGAAGTTTTAAATTTATTTCCTAGGTTTTAATGTGCGTAGAATTTAATGGCGCAATCCAATTTTTTTAAAACTCAACGGTTCACTTTTAATAATCAAATTACACCCATTTTTCTACTTAAATTTTTAGAGCTTAATTTTCATTCTTTTTTGACATTTTAAATTTTTTTCCTACACTTTCAGACATGTATAAACTTATGGTAAAAATGATTTTGCACCAAAATGAGAACTAAATCTTGTATACTGCATTTGACAACGTTTTGTTTATTTAATTCTTCACTTTTTCACTCAATTGTTTGCATTAGTTTTTTTACCTTATATTTTATGCTTTTTTAAAATTTTAAAGTTGTTTCCTACGTTTCAAAGTGTTGAGAATTTAATGGTAACATTCAATTTCCATAAAACTCAACAGTTCATTCTGAATACTGTAATTGGTCTCAAAATTCAATTGATTTTTAAGAGCTTGATTTTCATTATTTTTTGAAATTTGAAACTCATTCCCCACACTTTGAGACATTTTAAAAATGATGGTAACAATCATTTTGCATAAAAATAAAAACTATATCTTAAATACTGCATTGAATGATTTTCCTTAATTAATTCTTACACGCTTAATGATCCTTATTTTGTGGAATTTTAAGTTCTTTTCCTACACTTTGAAAGGTTTTAAAATTGATGGCTGTATCCATTTTTCATTCAAATAAAATTTTTATACAGTACAAATTATGCAAGAAACGGGGTACACTCTTATATTAGGATTGAAGCTTCAATTTTTATGAAAATTGGACTTCACCATTCAATTCTAAACATTTTTAAATGTAGGAAATCAATTT